CCGACTCAAACGCCGTCACGCGCGCGGCGCGGCGCGGCGGCGGCCAGCCCGTTGTCCCTGTCTCTCTCTCCTCTCGTCCGGCGTGGCATCGCATTGTCGGCGCAGACGCCGTGGCAGCGCTTATTGATCGCGGGCTCGGTGGTGCTTGGTTGTGTCCCTGCACGCGTTATGCGTCGTCGTCTTTCACGACGTAGCAACGGTGCTGGACAGGGTTCTCTCTCGCGCGTTTTCCATCTCTCGTCCGAGGTGAGCGACGACTGTACCACCGGTGACAACAGACGGTGTCTACTTTCGATCGTCGCTAGTGCGCGGAAACGGCCGATCAATTAATCCCGCCAGACCACCAACGCAGAGTATCAGGGAGGATCCCAAGAATCGGGGATGCGAGCAAGCGACACTGGGACCACTGAGTGAATCGAGCCACCGTCCTCCCCGCAGCAGCTCGACCCGAGGCTCCGAACCCGGTGAAGAGGATTCCCCTCGCGGAAAGATCACGAACGACCGGGGAAACGAAGGAAAACGCGGCTCAGCCAGCAGGTGGTTCGTGCACGATATCGCGATCGTCCTTTCCACGTCGAGTGAAAGTGACCGGCGGTGAAGCGTTCCCGAGTCGGCCGGATGCTCGGCCGACAGGTGCGTTCGTAGAGGCTCGTTCGGCGGTTGTGTATAACCCGGCCACCCGATACTCGGTAACGATTGGTCCGGCACCGGGCTCGAACTGTTCTCCGGCCAATCCCACGTAAGCTCAGCAGCCTAGCCGGCGCTTTTCCCCTGTGTCGCCGATCGACTTTGTTCTACGACGAACCGGCTCGAGGAACGGAGGACAGGGTCCTCTTCAACCGGGAACCATGAGTCTGCTGTCGTCCTCCATCGGCAGCGTCCGTTGCCTCGCGGACGAGGAGTCCGATCACAATATGCTCCAGGGTAAATCGAAGCTGAATTAGCTACTTCCCTTTCCGTACATTTCTTTCAGGTTCACGCTCAAGGTCGATGCGTGCAGTTGCTACTGGCAAGCGCCCTCGGAATATCCTCGAACGAGTTTTCGTCGCTGACCTCGAGACACGATCGATCACGCTCGGAGAACGTGCTGCTTGCGCGTATAACATTGTATATATGCATATATACGTGCCTGTGTACCACACCCACGCGCGAACGTGTCCTCTTCGTTTCGCGTTTCGTGTCATCTTTTATCTCGTTGTGCCGTTTATCGTTTTTCTCTGGGAATAAACGGAGATTAAAAGCCTCGATGATTTTTGGAGCGGTGAGCGTCGAGTGTCTCGACTCCCGCGACTACCTGTCTCCTCCCGCACGACTTTGACAGTCTGGAGCGATGACTCATCGACACGGCTTCTGAATCGAATAGTTGCCGTAGCTGCACCGGGGCCTTGAGTGCACGCGATGCATGTCTTACTGGTTAAGAATGAAAGCAACAGACGCTCGCGGTGTTTTAACTCTCTCGCTCTGTGATTCTCGTAACGAGCGACATCGAGCTTATTTTTTTGCTATCAGTGAATTGGATTTCAAATTTCAATTTCAATTTATTTCGATTTAAAACTGTCTTTAGTTTTTCGTACAAATATCAGGTTATTTTCTGTTCGAGACATCCGAGTGATAATTAGTTATCTGGTTTGTGTTGACTCTTGAACCTTCAATCAATCTGCATGGCACGACACCGACGCGATAAGCTTGTAATTCGAGTGATAATGAACTCGTTTTTAATGTCGAATCCGCCGAGTTCTGAGTAGATATTAATTGGTCTCGCACTTTGGGAATTATTGAGCGTCTTTTCGTTTGGGCTCGTTCAGATGAATATTTTGATCTGGTACAGGTTTCGAGCATGCGCGATAGGCAAACGACGAGACAGGTGCCGAGTGTTCTTCCTAGGAATTACATGTTCTTATTGGAAGCAACTAAACAAATCGGTTGAATAAAAAAGGATGTCTTGAAACATAGGTTTGAAATGTTTCTAAAAATAAAAGATTTAATGTTCAGTGGACAAATGGAGAAATTCAACAAATACGAATAAAAGTAAATCGGAACATTGCGATACGCGTTGAAACATATTTTGCATTCGAGAATTATGATTATTTTGTCAAGAAATTAAATGACAGACACTCAAATCTCACATTAAGTATTAAATATCAAAATAGTTTATAAAACAAGCTATTACCGACAAAATATTAATTAGAATGAAAGAACAAGATAAATAAGAATTGATTTAGAAATTTCCCTATAATAAATTACTAAAAAGCAATCAATTCTAACTCTATATGGAAATTCATGGAATTACTTATTAATAATAAATTTGTATATAGAATTAGTATTGATTGCTTTTTAGTAATTTATTACAGAGAATTTTCTAAATCAATTCTTATTTATCTTGTTATTTCATTATAATTAATATTTTGTCAGTAATAGCTTATTTTCTAATTAAGATTCTTTACGGTTCATTGTAGCATATTGCTCGAAATAAGTTTGCTGAATGTAAGCTTAATCGCTTTTTATCTTCAGAGTTTACAGATGGATTTTTTGTCGATAAGTTCGTGGTGCTTGTATTAGAGATGATCAGTGTACAAGAAACTCCTTATATGTTTCTTATAGGCTATTGAACACTTATGATATTACATTACAGAAATTGATGAATAAAGCAATTACTGTGATCTCGGAATGATTTGCGCAGTTTGTTAGAGAATAAGTAATACATGCTTTGTTGACTTTCATATCGTAAAATCATACAAAAATAAGAAGTATATATATTTTATTTATGTAAAAATGGAATGACTATGAAAAGTTTAACGCAAGAGACTAATATAATTATATTCAATTTTTTTTATTATTATAGTGCGTAATCTGCAAATATGCTGTTTCTAAAATATATAGTAGTCAATATTGCATTATCTTTTCTAAAATTATCACCTACAAAGTTATTTTAACTGTATTTTAGAATCAATCTATTATATCAGTGAATATCTCCATAAGTGACTCATCATAAAAGATCAACTTATGTAAGTAGAAAGATAGATTAGATTATATTAGAATGTGGTAATTATATAGTTGTCAGTGAGTCATCCATTTGTTTCTCGGTAAGTTTGAAAAACAAAGTAAGGACAAATACGTGCTATACAGTAAGGAATAATATATGCAAGGTGTTTCAGTTTTATATTGACAAACGATGTCAGCGTATTCTATAATTAAAAATGAAAATTTTTTAAATGTTATATAAGCATAGGTTTTTAAATGCTTTATTTAAAAAGTTGTATTAAAAATACTGAAGTTATAAGTGACAAGCTTCTCGTATTATTGATTTTAGTCATGTTTATTACTGTTCCTGTTCAAAGCGAATTTTGTAGATCTTGTGAATTTTGTTGCTGTTGATAAATTGAATCTATTGTCTTCCCACGCGGAACATGCGTAGTTATAATATCCGTTAAACGGAAACATGACTTTTCTAGTATAATTAAATATTGCCAACATTTTCATAGGAGATCAAACGAGAAATCCATTGTGTATAATTTTGGTATTTTTGTTATAAATTTTTAATAACACATTTATAATCTTATGTTTGTATAATATTTTTCCCCTATTTTTAATCATCGAATATGCTTTTAATCATAGAATTACTTTGTTGAACGAAATAAAAGTGAAACACCCTGATAATTTTGATTTTTTTTAAATTTCATATGATATCTTTTCAATCGAATTTTGAGTTTAATCAGTTACAAACATAATATATTCTAAATGACTGCAGAAATTGATGCATGTGTCTGTAGTATTATAGCAGAGTTGATAGATCCTTATCAGGACTAGGCTCCCGTACATAAAATTGACAACATTATTAAAAATAAAGATATTAATTGAGAGTATCGATAATACTATGTAACATTATGTATAGATAAACGTTTTCCAAACTCTGGCAATCATTCATTAAATTGCGAATACATGTTTGTACACACTCATATTTATGTGATGTACCTATGTGTAAAAGCTGAAATTAGAAAAAACATTTGTTTGATTCATTAATAGATTTATTAACTGAAACGGAACATTAAGTTTATATTCAGCTTCGTTAAACTTTGAGATTAATTAGATTTTATTCAGGTTTTTTATTATATGTTATTAACATTTGTATTATTAAACTTATATTGCAAATACTATGTCAACTTAGATTTTTGGGTTGCAAAAATTACCAAGAGAACAGTATAAAATGAAAATCTAATCAACATTTCGCTACAGTTTTCACTTTGTTGCGTTTTATGTGTCAGTATATACGTTATATAATAAATATGTAGGGCAGTTCTAGGAGTGATAGCCAGTTCAATTATTTTGAATAAACGTATAACACGTGGATCTAATAATTTTTCAGTTTACTTCGAATTTCACGTTAACTCACGTGAGTGTTGCAATATTTACAAAGAAAGAAATCTTCATGCAGATGTATAATAAATATATTACCGTAGAACTGTACCTAATCTTTTAGTACTCAAAAATATTTGATGCTCTTTGTTCTTTCTTAATATCACGTTAATGTTAATTGAGCCATTAATGTATCTGACTTTATACTGAGTTTTCGTATATTAATTACAATATAGAAAGTCAAAGTTGAAGATGTATGCAGTAAATTTCATGAAGTTGACACTTATGTTTTAGAAATAAAAATATCATTTGCATAATAAATGTAAAAAATTGTTTAGTAGGAATAAAAAGATAAAATAACAAAATTATTATATAATCTCATCTTTATCCAAATGAATATTAGGACAACAAAAATCTCATACTATTATTCCATTAAAGCAGAAAATTAAAATTATTTTAATAATTTATATCAATGTTTACTATTATTTTTACTACTATCATATTTTATTCCACATTGACACATGGATAGATATGTATTATTTTATTGCTATATTTTTTAAATATAGATAATTAAGTAGCCTATTATAGTTACGAAGAATAGTAGTTTCTATTTTTAATGAATAATATTTTAACATTGAAATTTATGCAATGATCACTTTATTTCGTTTGATGGTAGAAATTAATACATTTCCAAATAAACAGTTTTTATACAAAACGCGAAATATGTACAGTATAAAGTAAGGAGGTAGTTTGCTTATTGAAAATTGAATATGCTTATCTATGAATAGCGTTTATATATAGTTTACATGAATAAATTCTTAATATTTTTCAGATTTTATATTTACATAGGTATATCCAATTTAAAAAAAATTTCTTTTCTACACCTTGTAGTTTCAGAAATATAAAAAACATGCTTTCAACACTTAACGTTGAGGGGCATTTTCAGCTCTTCAAAGTGGATGTTTTAAATGGCCGTCTATACTGCACTGACTTTCCGGTTACACTTTATAAACAATTATTGACATTAAAAACTTAAAGTGATGTACAAAACATTATACAAAATTTTGTTTCTTGAACAAATTTCTGTTGGAAGGAAAACACTACAAAATCGTTCACCAACCCCTTATAACAACTGTCAAAAAGTTTTAGAATTATAAGATGTTATCATATGTAGTTAAAAACGAAAGGAAATTAAGAAGGATCTTCTTATACAGTTAATAACAGGAAAACATGTATATTTGCAGTAATTTCGTGTTAATACAGTAGGGCCCTCTATAACACAATTAAAAAATCGTTGAAAAATAACTATGGAAGTGAGATTTTCCGTAAGAGACTGATAGAAGTAAAGAATCAACTTGATGGACCAGTGCCCAAATGGGGAATTTCACACGATATCCGTAAACGTGAAACTGTGTAATACGAAATATTTCAATCGCCTTACAGGGAGTTCTACTGTACGTTTAACAGGAAATATTTTGCCAAGATTTATATTATCAGCTAGTGACTAACAAACATGAGTTCGTTATTCTTAGGTTTATCAAATTAGAATACTTAATTTTTCATACTCTGCG